GCATCTTTTCCCAGTGGTTTTCCTCTTGTACGAGCTGCGCTCAGTGTTCCCGTCGGCTCAGCCACGAGGTTTTCCTTTTGGTTTTTCCTGGGATCCTCTTTGCCCAACGAGGCAGCATTTCCTCTGCAACGGCCCAGCGTCTCGACACCTGCAGGTTTCCTCAGGCTCCAGGTGACTCGGGCTGTGCCTCTCCCCTCAGTGGCGCCGGATTTCCCGGTGGTTCTGCAGCTCATGCTCAAGTCCACACTCTTGACAAGTCCACGCCCAGCGCGCTGCCCCTTCCCTCTGGACACGCACAGTCGCCTGCGTCCCCACGGCGTTTTCAGAGCGCGTTTCGCGCACAAACGCCTCCGCGGCTCTGCGTCTCCTGCTGGGGCTCCCCGCGGCCCAACCGGGCGTCTTTTCCTATGGTTTCCCCAGAGGTTGGAGACGCGCCCTCGACCCGAGAGTCTCAAACCAAAGTTCTCCGCTCCGTGTCGCCCTATTCCTCTCTCCCCAAGACCCCAGCTTGGCCGTAGCTTACGTGGGAAATATCCGAGAGTCTTAAATGATCCCCACATTGCTATGAATGTGGTATGTCTGCTAAACACAGAGCGATCGTAGGCTTTATGTTACCCAAGAATTTGTCACAGACAATTTATAGTGTATTCTTAGCCCACGTCTGGAGTGTGAATTTCAGTCTTGAGTATCACGATTTAAGAACTTCCACTGCAGACTCAAGGAAACTTAGGCACAAATACAGTGCTATTGCAGTTAATGATGTAGAATGGGAAGTCTCTGGAGGGGGGAGGGGTGGGGACACCTGGGAAGCGTTTTCCTTACCTGTTAACATGGTCAGAATCTGAGAAAAGATTTCTTATAATATTATAAAATGCGTTCCATGATGAATCTCCAGATTTTTAATTTTTCCTTCTAGAGAAATAACCCAGGCTCTGCCTTAATTCTCCGTGATGGAGGCAATGTTCTCACCAGGAAGTGCTTTGCCCTGCTGCACGTTAGGGAAATACAGTGGAGTTCCTCCATATGACAGCTGAGCCCTCTCCACCTCCAGGCTCCGTGGTCCAGCTATTTATTTAAACTTGTTTTGGGGCATATACTCCATTCATCTTAAGGCCACTCTGTGCCTGCTAACATACCAGACACCACAGAGAAAACGTACCTGACATGAGAGCAGACACCATCGCACCTGTTAAAGGTTAAAAAGCAGGTGGAAACAGAGGTGACCAAGGAGGCCCCATCTCTCTTCTCATCCAAGCCTCTGAGAAACTTCCCGAGGAAAGATTTCCATCCTGGGAACTGAACATCTCGTGTGTTTAATTAGCAGAGCTAATCTGGGAAAAGATGATGATGTATTATTTGTGGACCAGGAAGACTTCTGAGAATTCCATGTTATTATGTGAGATATCGGGGATTTCCTGTTACTTTTCTCTTGCTGCATTAACCCCCCCCCCCCCCCCAGATTAGTGACTTACAACTACCACCAACATTTACTATTCTGCATGGTTTCCATGGGTCAGGAATTCTGGAGTCCTTCTGCTGGAAGTCCTGGTTTGAGGTCTCTCCTGAGATTGCAGTCAGAATGCTGGATGGCGCTGCAGTTGTCAGAAAGCCTGAATGGGGGTGGAGGATACACTTCTGGTTGTTGGCAGGAGGCCTCAGTTCCTGACCACGTGTGCCTCTCCATAGGGCTGACTGAATGTCCTCACACCAAGGTGGCCAGCTTCCCTCAGAGGCAGCAATGCAGGGGGGAGCAAAGGGCGAAACTTCAATGTCTTTTATACTCTAGCTTTGGAAGTCACACGTTGTCATTTCTTAATATCCCGTTGGCTTCAAAGGTCAGCCCTATTCAATGTGGGGGGCAGTACATCAGTAGGTGGGGATCATTGGGGACTATCTTAGAGTTGGCTCCCACAAATATGGTGTGACAAATCTAATTATGGGAACAACTGACACAGAAATGGAAAGAAATTGAGAGTGGAAGTGTTTGGGTAACAGGGAGGCAGAGTCGTCTACAAAAATTCTTTGATTAAAATGAATAAAAACAAGCTGTCGAAGAAAATAATCCATAAGCAATCTATAAATGAAAATTTGGGTGAGTTTATTCTGAGCTTAAATCTTAGGATTATAACCCGGGAGAGTCTTTCCACAAAGGAACAGAACACTCCAAAGAAGTGGGGGTATACAGGATGGTTATATACCCTCAAAGAGTATGTTTCACATATGATTGAAATGTCCCTTATACGATAGTCACGAGGCTGCTCTGTCAGCACAGCGATTGATGGAAACGGCAGATAGGTCTGCTGTCTCAGTGAACGCTGTGGGGCAGCCGGTGTGTTGCCTTGGGCTGGGCGGTCACAGATGAGCGCTGCAATCGGTTCCCAGCCTAAAGAAAGATGCTTAATCTTTAAGGAGATGCCAACGTTGGGAGGGGGAGAGAAGTTGCACCTTTATCTCAAGGGCCTTTTGCTTTTGCCATAGGGAATCTCTAAAGCAGATATAGAGTGCATGCTCAATGGCCTCGGTCAGGTCCTTTTGGAAAGACAAGCTCAGGCCGAATTAGGTTTACACAAAATGGCTTCCTCATATACTCCAATATATCCTATTACTTGTCATTTTTATTTGTCAAAGCATATCGTTTTCAAGGTCATCCCATGCACTGAGGGAATAGAGCAGATTTTTCTCTGACATATGAAAAGTCTGGTCCCATTGTATGGATATACCACATTTTGTTTATCCATTCATCAGCCATGAAGAGGAATGAAGTACTGACACATGCTACAACCTGGATTAACCTTGACAACATTATGCTGAGTGAAAGAAGCCAGACACAAAAGGTTATATGTTGTATGATTACATTTACATGAAATGTCCAGAGAAAGCAAGTTAGAGACAGAAAGCAGATTTGTGGTTTCCAGGAACTGGGGGTGAAAGGAAATGGGGAGTGATTGCTAACAGTTATGGCATCTCCTTTGGGGTAATGAAAATGCTCTGGAGGGGCCTGCCCCATGGCGTAGTGGTTAAGATCATGTGCTCTGCTTCGGTGGCCCAGGGTTTGCTGGTTTGGATCCTGGGCACTGACCTACTCACCACTCATCTAGCCCTGCTGTGGTGGCAGCCCACATGGAGGAACTAAAATGACCTGCAACTGAGATATAAAACTATGTGTTGGGGCATTAAAGAGAGAAAGAAAAAGGAAATATTAGCAAAAGATGTTAGCTCAAACTTCCTAAAAAAAAAAATCATGATGGAGGCAACCGAAAAAAAAGAAAATGCTCTGGAAGTAGATAGTGGTGCTGATGGTTGCACGACATCATGAGTGTGTTTATTGCTATTGACTATACACTTTAAATTGATTAAAATAGTAAATTTTACACTAGGTTTTAATCTCAGCCTTCTTGGCTCATATGGGGCTCCATGGGTCACATAGAAGGGTGATAGGTTTCCGAAGACTCAAAGAGGAACACACAAGGCTGAGCTGAGCGCCCACAGGTTGGAAACTGGCCCCTGGGTGAGAAGTCAGATGATGCCACCTAGTGTCCACTATGGACAGTCTGTGTCAAGGGACAGATAGAGGACTCGCTGTGACAACGAAGGTTCTGGGGTATTGAAAGGAGCTAAAATCTGGGTGAATCATCATGAGAGGACCACAGAGTTGGTCCAAACCAAGAGAACATAGCAAAGGTTTGTTAACCCAGATATTGGCAGAGGCTGCCGTTGGAAGTCCAATGAGAGCCACCACTGCCAATAGCAGTCAGCTCAGGCAGTTCAATGACTCACATTTTCCGGTTGTTATTACCATTATAATTATTGTGTGGCAGTGAACTGGCATCCAGATGGACCAGACATCTTGTCTGGGCAAATGAACCTCTGCTATCTTCTCTTGGTTTGGACAAATTCTGTGGTCGTCTTCTGTTGATTCAGTCCAATTTTAGCTCCTTTCAACTCCTCAGAACCTTCAACATCACAGTGAGTTCTCCATTGTCCCTTGACACAGACTGTCCACAGCAGACACTGGCTGACATCATCTGACCTCTTACCCCAGGAGCCAACTTCCAACTTATGGACACTCAGCTCAGCCTTCTGTGTCCTTCTGTGGGTCATCAGAAACTTAATGACACTTCTAAGAGACCCATGGAGACCCATATGAGCCAACGAGGCTTAGATAAAAACTCAGTGTCCCTCCCAGGTTCACACTGCACAGATATTGCACCTCTGCTACAGAAACCTCATTTTAATTCAAGGTAAAAATATATAACCATAATCCCCAAGCTTCCCAAACAGGATGAGATGAGAGATGTAAGCCCCCGTTTATTACTTTTTAGGCTTCAGCAGATGCCCTTGAGGATTTTGCACCTGGGAGTTTTCCATATGTTCTCTTCCTCTTTGGAAGAAACTCTCCTGTGGTTATGCACTGGGGGTGATTTGGCCCCGAGAGGACATTTGTTCATATCTGGAGACATTTTTAATTGTTACAACTTGGCTGGTGATACTACTGGCATCCAGTGTTTAGAGGACAGGGTTACTGCTAAACACCTACAATGCGGAGGACAGCCCCAGCAAAGAATGATGCAGCCCAAGTATCAAGAGCGCCAAGGATGAGAAATTCTTCCCTATATCATGTTGTCTTTCTTCCCAAGGAAAATGAGCTTTGTGACAGTCTAATGGAGACCAGAGCACAGGGAGAGAAATTTGCTTAATAACGTGGGCTGGAGCATCATAAAAAATTAGCCCTCTTATATATATCAATAGCTGGCATTTGCTTAGGACTTGCCACTTGCATTCCCTGTGCTGGAGCTTTACCATATCATCCCTTTTGATCCTCTTGTCACCTGTATGAGGCATGCATTGTTGGTCCATTTCAACAATGAGAGAAACTGAGGCACAGGACGTTGAGCATTTCTAACAAGACCACCATCCATTAAAAGCGACATCAGCATTTGAACCCAGTCAGGGGGACTTCAGAGTCCACACTGTTAAGTGCTCTGTTCCATTGCCCTTGGTCACACTTGTCCAGGCACAGAGTCTTTGCTGTTGTCTTGGGAAGATGATACACTGCAGTCAGGCTTTCTAAAGGCCCTCTTCATGACCCTGCTCCTCAGGCTGTAGATGACGGGGTTCATCACGGGAGTGATCACAGTGTACAGGACTGAGGTAAACACCCACGTGTGTCCACGTGGAACTGAGGGAGACCCCCAGGCAGGTCCCACAGAACAAGGAGACAACCGAGAGGTGAGACCCACAGGTGGAAAACATGCTATACTTCCCTCCTGCTGAGATCCTCAGTACACAAGAAATGATTTGAGAGTAAGAAAAAAGGATCCCAGTGAGAGGAGAAAAGCCCATAGTGCCTGTCACAATATATAATACAATGTTATTGATGAAAGTGTCAGAGCAGGTGAGCTTGAGGACCTCAGGGAGTTCACATAAATACTGCAGGATTTCAGTGACTGCACAGAAAGAAAGCCACAACATGGTTAAACTCTCAGGGAGGGCCCCAAGAACACTGATGGGCCAGGACAGGAGGAGTAACTGGGCACAGAAGCGGGGGTTCATAATGACTGTGTAGTGCAACGGGTGGCAGATGGCCACGAAACGGTCATGGGCCATCACAGTCAGGAGTAAATTGTCCAAAAGTCCAAAACCTGTGAAAAAAAATACATCTGCATGATGCAGCCTGCATAGCTAATGCCTTTGCTCTGCACCTGGATGTTCAGGAGCATCTTTGGGATGGTGGTGGAGGTGAAACAGATGTCAGAATAGGACAGGTTGGAGAGGAAGAAGTATATGGGTGTGTGAAGGTGGGAGTCTGAAATGTTGGCCGGGATGATGAGCAGGATCCCCAAAACAGTGACCAGGTACAAAGACAGGAACAGCCCAAAGAAAACACATTGAATCTCTGGCTTCTCAGAAAGTCCTAGGAGGGGACATACTGGGAGCGCCGAGTGGTTTCCTGTTTCTGTGTATAGCAGTTTCTTCCAAGAAAGAGGCAGAAGCAAGACTGAATCAATGACCAATAGGCAACTCAGAACCGTGGTCACTGTTAGCTTGAATGCAATTTGAGGAGATAAAGCATTTCTTCTTTCTTGTCTGTCAGTTTGGGGTTTCCAAATGCCGCCATCTTCTCCTCAGAACATCCAAATGCCGCCAACTTCTGTGTTGCCACCACTAGCTGGAAAACCTACACATGAAAACTAATTTTGCACCCAAAGTAGACCTCATCTGTTCAACTGCCCTGACACCTGGTCATCCAGTCTTAGTCTTTTCAGATGTCTTTAACTAATCTGTACTTTACTTTTAAGTGCCTTTACAATAAAAATAATCACAATAATTTTTATTATTGTTTTAATAATACTAATTAAAAAGGCCTGGGTCTGTATATAATTTCCATAAACTATGGTAATGTCGTGATATCTACTCACTTTCTACTCACAATTTCTACTCATTTGACTACTTAAAATGTATTATGGACCAATCATGAAAGAAATTGAGTCATCAATCAACTTTACCTCCCAGAAAAGACACAGTGCCAAATTACTAATTTGAAATACATAAAAATTATTTGCAGTCACTTGAAAATAAATGTCCTAACGAATTTTATGAAGCCATTTTAATCATGATACCAAAAGCCAACAGCTCTTCACAATAGCAGAGGTACAGCCAAGACTACAGATTAATCTTTTAATAATTAATGTAGGATAAAGCTCAAAGAAAATAGCAATAAAATATATTCAGCAATTTATCAGGCAAAACAAATACCATGACCAGGTAGCATTCAACCTTAGAGAGCAACCAGCATTTCATATTGGTAATTTATTTATTGTAGTAGAGCAAATCAGCAGAAAAAATCATCCAAATAGAATAGGATCGTCTTATTAAATGCCAAAGATATTGCATGAAAACTGGTCTGAGGATCTGTAAATAGGATATTTCTTAACTATGATAAAGTAGTTTCCTTGGTCATCAGCTAATAACAACCCTGACATGAAAAAATTTGAAGAATCCCCATAAAGATCATACAGAAGACAAATATGCCTGCTGCTGCCACTACCCAACACTGTTCTGAAATTTCAAACCAATATGACCAAAGAAGAAAAAGCAATAATAAGTTCACATTTTGAGTAAAAGTAAATTGATCAGGTTTTCACATGATACAATTGGCTACCTAAAGTCCATTGGCAAGGTATTACAACTAAGAAGTCACTTTGGTAAGGCTAGATTTTTTTGTTGTTGCAGTAACATTGGTTTATAACATTATGTAAACTTCAAGTGTACATCGTCATGTATTTTGGTTTCTGTGTAGATTACATCATGTTCATCACCCAAAGACTAATTACAATCCATCACCACATACCTTTTGCCTTCCTCCCTCCTCTGGTCCCCTCTAGTAACCACCAATCCAATCTTTGTTTCTATGTATTTGTTTGTTGTGGTTTTTATCATCTACTTATGAATGAGATCATATGGTAGATGACTTTCTCCTTCTGGCTTTTTTCACTTAGGATAATATCCTCAAGGTCCATCCATGTTGTCACAAATGGCCAGATTTCATCATTTCTTATGGCTGAGTAGTATTCCATTGTATACATATACCACATCTTTATCCATTCATCCCTTGATGGGCACCTAGGTTGCTTCCAAGTCTTGGCTACTGTGAACAATGCTGCAGTGAACATAGGGGTGCATGTATCTTTATGCATTTGTGTTTTCAAGTTCTTTTGACCAATACCCAATAGTGGGATAGCTGGATCATATGGTAGATATATTCTTAAATTTTGAGGAATCTTCATACTGTTTTCCATAGTGGCTGCAGCAGTTTGCACTCCCACCAGCAGACTATGAGGGTTCCCTTCTCTCCACATCCTCTCCAATACTTATTGTTTCCTGTCTTATTAATTATAGCCATTCTGACAGGATACAATGATATCTCATTGTAGTTTTGATTTGAATTTCCCTGATAGTTAATGATGTTGAACATCTTTTCATGTGCCTGATGGCCATCTGTATATCTTCTTTGGAGAAATCTCTGTTCAGATCTTTTGCCCACTTTTTATTGGGTTGTTAGTTTTTTAAAAAATTTTTATTGAGTTCATAATAGTTTACATCAATGTGAGATTTCAGTTGTACATTATTTCTTGACTGTCACCACATAAGTGCTCTCCTTCACACCCAGTGTCCCCCCCACCCACCTTCCCCTGATAACCACTAAACTCTTTTCTTTGTCCTGGAACTTGTTTATATTCCACATATGAGTGAAATCATCTGGTGTTTGTCTTCTTCAGTCTGGCTTATTTTTCTCAGCATAATTCCCTCTAGGTCCTTCCATGTTATTGCAAATGGGATGAATTTGTCTTTTTACTGGCTGAGTAGTATTCCATTGTATATATATACCACATCTTCTTTATCCAATCAACGGTCAATGGGCACTTGCATTGCTTGCATGTCTTGGCTTTTGTGAATAGTGCTGCAGTGAACATAAGGGTGCATATGTTACTTTGGGTTGTTGATTTCACATTGTTTGGGTAGATACCCAGTAGTGGGATAACTGGTTCATATGGTAGGTCTATTTTTAGTTTTTTGAGGAATCTCAATACTGTTTTCCATAGTGATTGCACCAGTTTGCATTCCCACCAGCAGTGTGTGAGGGTTCCCTTCTCTCCACACCTTCTCCAACATTTGTTATTATAAACATTTTAACAGGTGTAAGGTGGTATCTTAGTGTAGTTTTGATTTGCATTTCCCTGATGATTAGGATGAACATCTTTTCATGTGTTTATTGGCCATCTGTATATCTTCTTTGTAAAAATGTCTGTTCATCTCCTCTGCCCACTTTTTGATCGGGTTGTTTGCTTTTTCATTGTTCATTTGTGTGAGTTCCTTATATATTATGGTGATTAACCCCTTTTCAGATATATGATTTGCAAATATTTTCTTCCAGTTGGTGGGTTGTCTCCTTGTTTTTATCCTAGTTTCTTTTGTGTGGCAGAAGCTCTTTAGTCTGATGAATTCCCACTTGTTTATTTTTTCTTTTGTTTCCCTTGTCTGAGAGGACATGGTATTTGAAAAGATCCTTTTTAGTTTGATGTCAAAGAGTATACTACCAATATTATCTTCCAGGAGTTTTATAGTTTCAGGACATATCTTCAAGTCTTTGATCCATTTTGAGTTTATTTTTGTGTATGGTGTGAGATAGTGGTCTACCTTCATTCTTTTGCATGTGGCTGTCCAGTTTTCCCAACACCATTTATTGAAGAGACTATCTTTTCTCCATTGTATGTTCTTGGCATCTTTGTTGAAGATTAGGTGACAGTAGATGTGTGGTTTTATTTCTGGGCTTTCAGTTCTGTTCCATTGATCCATGTGCTTGTTTTACTACCAGTACCATGCTGCTTTGGTCACTATGGCTTTGTAGTACATTGTTAAATCAGAGATTGTGATACCTCCAGCTGTTCTTTTTTCTCAAGATTACCTTAGCAATTCATGGTCTTTGATCGCCCCATATGAATTTTAGTACTCTTTGCTCTATTTCCGTGTAGAATGTCGTTGGGGGTTCTGATAGGGATTGCATTGAATCTGTAGATTGCTTTGGGTAGTATGGACATTTTAACTATGTTTATTCTTCCAATCCATGAGCAAGGAATCTCTTTCCATCTCTTTAAGTCATTATCAGTTGCTCTCAGTAATGTCATATAGTTTTATTTGTATAAGTCCTTCACCTCCTTGGTTAAATTTATTTCTAGGTACATTATTTTTTTAGTTGTGATTGCAAATGGAATGATATTTTTGAGTTCTCTTTCTGTAAGTTCATTATTGGAGTATAGAAAAGCAACTGATTTTTGTAAGTTGACTCTGTACCCTGCAACTTTACTGTAGTTGTTAATTATTTCTGTTAGTTTTCCAGTGGATTTTTTGGGTTTTCTATATATAAGATCATATCATCTGCAAACAGTGAGAGTTTCACTTCTTCACTCCCTACTTGGATTCCTTTTATTTCTTTCTCTTGTCTAATTGCTCTGGCCAAAACCTCCAGTACTATGTTAAATAAGAGTGGTGATAGAGGGCATCCTTGTCTCATTCCTGTTCTCAGGGGGATGGCACTCAGTTTTTGCCCATTGAGTATGATGCTGGCTGTGGGTTTGTCATATATGGACTTTATTATGTTGAGGTAATTTCCTTCTATCCCCATTTTGTTTAGAGTTTTTATCATAAATGGCTGTTGGATCTTGTCAAATGCTTTCTCTGCATCTATTGAGATAATCATGTGGTTTTTATTCCTCAATTTGTTGATGTGGTGTGTCACATTGATTGATTTGTGGATGTTGAACCATCCCTGTATCCCTGGTATAAATCCCACTTGATATTGATGTATGATCCTTTTGATGTATTGCTGAATTTGGGTTGCCAAAATTTTGTTGAGAATTTTTGCATCTATGTTTATCAGTGATATTGGCCTGTAGTTCCCCTTTTTTGTGCTGTCCTTGTCAGACTTTGGTATAAGAGTGATGTTGGCCTTATTGAATGTGTTAGGAAGTGTTCCATCCTCCCTAATTTTTTGGAATAGCTTGAAAAGGATAGGTATTAAATCCTCTCTGAAAGTTTGGTGGAATTCCCCAGAAAAGCCGTATGGTCCTGGGGTTTTATTCTTTGGGATGCTTTTGATTGCTGTTTCAATCTCTTTCCTTGTGATTGGTCTGTTCAGATTGTCTGTTTCTTCTTGACTTAGCTTTGGGAGGTTGTAGGAGTCTAAGAATTTATCCATTTCCTCTAGGTTATCCATTTTGTTGGCATATAGTTTTTCATAGTATTCTCTTATAATCCGTTGTATTCCTGCGGAGTCTGTTGTTATTTCTCCTCTTTCATTTCTGATTTTGTTTATTTGAGCTTTCTCTATTTTTTCTTTGTAAGTCTGGCTAGGGGTTTGTCAATTTTATTTTTCTTCTCAAAGAACCAGCTCTTTGTTTCATTAATCCTTTCT